CATAGGTCCAAGATAATGTAGCCGTGTATTACTACTAGAATTAATCTAGTTCTACAAGCTTTGTTTACAAACCAAGTGTTGGCTAGATATAAGCCATTGATTTCCGTTGATTTCAAAAACTGTTTTTAAAATGATTGACCTAGATGTTGTCAACACATTGTTTGTAAATCAAGTTTGTCAACCTAGTTTGTACAAATAACATATTCTTATTACCATACCAAGAAATCATTTTTTGCATGGTTGTCCAGAGTGACCTACATTGGTATAATATAGTGCTACTTCTATTTGATTCTTTTCATTGCATTTTCGAGTGTCTATGAATGGAGCAAGTTCGATGGTCTCTGATGGTCTTTTCATTCTTTTACTGAATGTTACTTGGATACGAGCAGGAAAGATTGAACAGGTCTCTGATGGTCTGCCAAGACAAATTTGAGTCAGCCAAAGTCCAGCAGAACCGAAGTGATGCCATGAAGGACTTGGAGTCGTGTGTTGACCACTCTGTTCAAGACAGCATCAAGACATTGCCGCATCTTGTTGGAAGAATGAAAGCATCTCTACTCATCAAAGATTGAAACCAAGGTTATTACCGTGTGTTGCAATAAATTGCCATGTCTTCTTGGTTTATCTTTATTAATCATTATGAAGTGGTCTATCTATCTGCAACCACTCTGAAGCTTTGATGAGATGAAGAGCCATACTAGTTCTCTGTTTCAAGTGATGATTTTTTGAGTAATTATCTAGTTTCATATGAACATCCAGCAGAGATTCTTGAAATATGTATTTCGATTAAAACCCAATGCATATTTGAGAGAGAATATGTCCTTGACTGGAGAAATTTTTTCAGTGAGTTCCAAGTCTAATCTTCAAAATAAATAAATAAAGCCCACAATCCCATGGGTTATCCTCCTGTATTTGAGTGGCAAAATTTTCAAGCTGAACAATAATCATTGACAGCCAACAAGCCTAAACCAACTTCTTCCGGGATTGGTGCCCGAGCACTTGATGAAAATGGACTGTAAATTCATTGGCGATAAGTTCACGCTAGTTGGATTGAATATGCTCAGCAATCATGATTCAAACAATTAGACCTATAAACACAATGTTCAAAACTCGGATAAAATACTGAGCTCTAAGCCTTTTAACGTGTTATGTACTAATAAAACTTGCCACCTCATGTGATTTTTACTTGAAAAAGGGACCTAACAAACATGAAAAGTAACACCTCGTGTGCTTTCTTAAGGATAATATTTTACAATTTTAAGTAACAAATCGATGAAATTCCTCAAAATTGTAGAAACAAAAACAAGGCTATAAAAGAATTCAAGCTCAAGATTTTATATTAGATTATTATTCATCTTACAGAATGAAACCACGAGAAAATCGTTTATTACTCCAAGCTTAAATTATGTAAACTGCCCCATTTAATTGCCAAGGAAAATTCTATTGATAACGTCAACAGGCAGTGCATATGCTGGATCTATAGCTTTCAATCCTGGATATTCAAGAAGTGAAAGACCTGCAATATCCATATTACGAGATTCACAGTGTAAACGCTTCCCCAACTCAAAAGCATCATGACAAAATTCAACACTTACCGGCAACTCCAAAGTAGGTGTGGAAGACATCAACAGCATCGTCCGGCCTATCTGAAATTCCACCATTTTCTTTATCCTACAAAAATAAAGGATGAGCAATTTAAACTTCTCACCTTTCAGTGATAAGCAATCCCAGAATTCAAAATTTCAAACCAGAACTAGTAATAAGTCGATTCTCGAAGTAACCTGACAATCCAAGATAAACTTAACAAGCTTTTCCTTGTCAATCCAGTGAACTCTATCAATCATGATCAAGCTAGAAAGGACCCACCACGAGTAACAGACCTGGAGTTAGATTGAAGTAGCATTAGAATAGAATTAACGAATATCTTAATTTTCTCTCTTAAAAATTAAGAATATTGAAGGAAAACAGTAACTTACATCAGGAAGCTTCTCAGGACGTCCATTTAGACCTCCAGATTTTACTTGGCGTTCACACAACCACCATCCAAGGAGGTCCTTGTCAACATGATGTAGAGAACCAGTAATAGCAAGAGCTCCCACACAGCAAAAAACTAAAATAACAATGGCATGCCATGACTTCCATTGCTTTGCATAATTACTCTATACTATACATAGTATAACTCTACATATTACTCTGCTACAAATTTTCTTGCCTTAACCTATGATTCTTGTGAAGAAACCAAGTTCATATAAAATGGAATGATATTTCGTTTTTATAGAATTTCATAGCACATTACTTCACAATCCATCCATTAAAATGCACGGATAAAAAAGTTGACTGTTGGGCTAAAATACAGAATCTAGTACCGAGATAAATAAAATAAGCATGCACACTATAGCAGTGGGATCAAATTAAATCACCGAAAGACAGGTTCTAGTATTAAAATATAAATATGAAATACTATTAACAGATGGTGAAGAAGCAGCAGGACAGAGAAACACGATGCTTAAAGAGAATCCATTCTGATATTAGCTCCTTTAATCAACATCAATAATTAGAGATATAATGGGCATGTGTTTTAAAGCCTGCCAACTAAAGCAAATGTTTTTTAATCTACTGATTTTTCAACCCTCACAGATGCCAAATAAGAAATATTATTTCTGCACATCAAAGACAAACAATATAATACACATTTTTCTTCAGTAGTGAAAACATCAGCCTTATGCTCCTTTTTTATTACCTTTCAGTCAAAAACCACAGAAGTTATTGTCAAAACATTCTTCTCTGGCTTACAATCTAAAAAAGGCACAGAAATTGACCACCCATTATAAGTCGATCACAATGCATGTCCCATTTTGAAAACTAAAAATGTATAATTAATTGCAAGTGGTCACTTCTCTTGTTTATGCCCCATTTTCTTGGAGGTTCATAACACCGGTAAACTCAACTTTTCACTTGTTTTGTGTTTACTTATCAATGGAGAATTATTTTGGAATCTTGAGGTTTTAGATTGAGAAGAACCAAAAGGCAAAGCACATGCAGTGAGGTACAAGGTTAATAATGGAGGAGCTACAGACAATCATGTTATCCAAAAAAGTGATTGCTTTAGGTATTTAGATTCAATTAGTAACAACTGAGAAGCTGAAGAGGGTGCTTATGATTCTAGAGATTGGATGAAATGAGCACATCCTACAAAAGCTCTATATGACAGGAGATCCAACAATGGAGGTTAATTCTACAAAACAGTTATTCAAGCTGCTATGCTTTATTGTGTGGTTATATTAAGATGAACAACATGAGAAATAATAATATATGCCAACAAGTGGAGGTGGCACACCTTTCGTTGAGGATAAATCAATGAAAGGACAAATTATATGGTCGGGACATGAGACACTCATTCATGATGAGATCGCTGTGGAACAATTTAGAAGAGAAAGAGGTAGATGAAAACTAATATGTTCGGTTGCCAAGGAAATAGTTACATTGAATCTTCCAGTATATGTAGCAAAAATCGAACAAAAGTCACAAAAACAATTCATGTAGCCGACCTCAAATTTATTGGAAATAAGGCTTAAGGTTTTGTTTTTCATTGTTGTTTTTCTATTTACTTGGTGCACAAATATTATAGCCGAGAAATGACTAAAAACAATTCTCATGGATATATTACACTGAATACTGTACAACATACTTTGCCCAGCATGAGATTCTGCTCCAGGTGTGCATCCAAATCCACCATCCAAATTCTGGCAACTAAGGATGTACTTGACAGCTTTTTCCACATTGATTTTGTCCAACTGATGTAATAACGCTAGAGAACATATTGCAATATAAGAAAACCTAAAGAAAGAGTTATTATTGTCACTGTTTATCCACAAAATTGACAATATCAACATGAAAATTAACAAACACCAGACTTGAATAATTTTACTAATAAGGAAGAAAAGATCCAGAAGTAATATGAGAAATATAGAATGGGAAGATATACCTCGTATCAACTTCACCCCACATATCACCTGAAAAGGATCCATCTTCATTTTGTAAGCCAGCAATGTCTGGTTTATTGGTCAAGTTAAACTTCATATTGAATCAAATATTCTTTCTAATATAAAAAGATAATAAATCAATGCTGCATTTGAAGTATTTAGAGCCAACACAATGCCCATAATGTGCCATCTAGTTTAGAAGCCAAGTTTAACGATAGACATACACAAATGCTAAAATTAAAAACTGCTACCTGACTTCTCTAATGGTCATTTAAATTAATTGAATTTTCACCCCATTTGAAGTACAAGGATCCCTTCTATACCCCTGCATAATTCACCATATTTGAGGTATTAATGTGGCATTTGGCTTAAGGGAATGACTTCAAAATCCCAATTTTAAGGTTTCTTCCATTCTCCATGCCAATCCCATGGGTTTGGCCATTACCAAGGAGTCAGAATGAACATTGTATTTGATATTCCAGAAGCAGTCTTTTCCAAGATGGAAAAAAAATAATAATAATAAAATAAAAATAAATCCAAAACATACCCCAACCTCAAATTTTTACAAAGAACTGAACATCGTAACAACTTACCACTATCCAAAACCTACCTCACATCATTATCAACCTTCAGTGCAATCACCCCTGTATGTTTTCCACTGGCTACCACCATCAACAACAACCTGTTCCAAAGGTCCGCAATCATCTTGAGCCACGCCGCTGCCTCCTGACATCCATCCACTGCCAATCTTTACCACTACCTGCACATCCCTTTCTAACCTATCAACATCACCATCAGTTCTGCCCTTTCTTCAGCTCATCCATCAACTACAGCACTCCTTTCCCCTCACTGGCCACCGCCAACCTCAACCACCACTGTACCTTTCTGGGTCGCCTCCTTCCTACTATCAGCTATCTCCTGCACCTCTTCTCCCATCCATCTATACTCGTTCCCAGTCTCCATCCCCCATCAGATCCTCCAGCGTTCACTTTCAGCCTCCCACCACCATCCTCAGAAATTTTCCACTGTCTACTGCCACTTTTACCCCATGTTCTCATCCTCTTCATTGAACGTTCAAAACAGCAAAAATTACTTTTTCCCAGCGATTGTAAGCCTACAGTTGGAGAATTTTCTCTGGTATAATTGAGGATATTTATAACTATCAATTAAAGGTTTAGCTTCATGGTTTAAATTCACTATAATTTCATCAATCTATTGTTAGTGACAAGTTCACAACTGTCTTCATTCCCCAGCCATTATATCGTTCATGTCAATTTCATAGCACTCCAGAACCAGATTCCCATTTAATCAGCGAAATCTGTTACTTCGCAGCAAACACTTCTATCAGTGATGGTAGAGCTACAAGAGAACCAAGTTAAACTCAGGTATATAAATGCTAGATTCATCTTAATTTCCACGATACTTGAGCTCTGACAAAATACAACTAGAAATGTCTCACAAACGTATCTCAAACGCCTATAGAAGTAAGTGGCAACAGAATGCATCAAGATTCAATTAAATGACTGCTTGGGAATTTAAAGAGCAATTCCCAAATGGCATAAATATGCATAATTTAACAACTCTGTAGCTCTACAAATAGCCTTCAAGAATCCAATGGCTGAATGTGGCTGTGTCAAAGTGTAAATGAGCCATTTTTTGTTTACTCAAGCATGCTTCGTGTACAAAATGAGCACATGGAAATAAGCTATATTACTATTTGAACAAAAGCCATTCAAGAAGAGCTGAGCATTAGCAGATCTAACACGTTCACAGGATTAATAAGGTTATATTCAGATAGCACGAAAATGCTCCTTGGAGAGAGTAGCGATGCAATCTTGAAGGCAACGAAACAAAATAAAGATTAAACCTCTAGAACAATCTAAGACCAAAAGCTTTTAAAGTTGAAGGATACAATTCGAGACCTTCTCGATGTCAAGAACCTCTATCTTGTCAAACAGTGCTAAAACCTGAATAGCACTGAGGGTATACAACAAATGTGGGTCATGTCCTATATTACCACCAAAGCCACCTGCACAAACAGACATGATACAGCACAGGCGAATTTATAATAACCATTACATACAAATGCAAATAGGTTGACTTGCAGGTATCATGTACAATACAGAAGCAGCTCATTCAGAATAAGAAGAGGGAGGAAAGATGAAGACTAATCAAAGCAATAAAAACATTAATCACATAGTATAACTGGGTTTGATTTATGACCTGTTAATAAATATAAAAGCTAAACCGGGTAACAGCATACAAATAAGTGCAGAAACGTGTACCAGATTTGTGTTGGCACTGCATGACCCATGAAACAACTTCGTCTTGATCAACCGCTTCAAGCTTTCCTAAAATATCAAGAGTTGTCAATCCCCAGTATGCCCCATTTAACCTTAGGTGCTCCATCACCACTGATACAAAATCATCCTTCCTCTACGGAAAATATGTTACAAATTTTGGTCAGATACGTCCTTGAATACATCAAAAACAATACTAATAGAACACGAGTGCAACAGTAATAACAATTATACTTATGAATATTACAAAAAATAAAGATACACCCAATAAAAATTGTAATTAATTTTTCAGATCAATGATAACAGCTTTAACTTTACACTTCTGCACCTTTTATTTTCTTTCTCACTAATATTATTTATTTTTTATTTTTAGGTCAAATACAAATGACGCTACCAAACTTTGACACCTTCTGCAATTTGTTTCCAACCTCTTCTTTCTTAGAATTTAGAACCTCAACCTTCCATTTTTGTGAATTTAGCCCCAACTAACAGTTTCCATTCAAAATATTCCATAAAGTTGGCATGTGCGGCTTATGTGAATAAAGTCACATAAAAATAAGCAGAAGAAGGAAAATTAAAAAGAATAAAAAGGGGAAAAAACACATTTTTAACCATTGCAGCGCCCAAACAAGCCCCTGAAATCCCAGACTCCATTGCAGCACCCCTACCCCAATCCTACCTCCTATTTTATTGTCACAAAAAAATCTTATTATATTTTCCAATAAATTAGAGAATCAAAGAGTTTTTGGATGTCAACAAGCTAAATTAAATCCTATTTGAATTTTAGAATCAAATATAAGACTGACCAAAAGTTAGTAATATATAAATAGCAATGCCTCCAAAATACACAGGCAAAGCTTAAAATTAGTAAATTAACTTTACCCTTTTTGGCAAACATGTTTAAAGTTTTTCGAGTTACTTCTTCGGGAGGGTTTTAATTTCAAAAACTCACTTTTACAATAGTAAGTCTTTACTTATTTTCCACAAACGCAATTTGCCTTTTTCCCTTTATACTTACCCGAACATGCTCGACCAAAGATATTAAGAAAGTACGGATACACCCCCCCCCCCCCCCCCCGCGCCGGGTTTCACCATTAAAATTTATCTGTGAGATATACATTTTACTGTGAAATCGAATGTGACCAACAACATTTTTTTTTCTTTTCTATTCTTTTTATCTAACTAAGCTGTAATTGCCAATTCAAAATTTGTATTACTAAAGGGCACAATTTCTCCTTAGTGTAATGACAATTTTTCTACTTAATATAATGATATTTTCTCTGGCAACTACTTTACTAAACTCAAGGTAGTTACTGGCTCATCATATAGCCGAACATGACAAAGTTCAAAAATGGCCAAGTTATTCCTCATCTTCTGTGCAAGTTGTTTAACAGGATCCTAAAAATGTAAGCATAACATGTAACAATTGAGTACATTTATTACTAATTTAGGTCTCATATTAATAATTCTACAAACAGAGCTCGATTTGTTATCATTTATCATTTACTGGTATCTTTATTTAGTAAATCAAATTTAGGTGAACATTTCTAAATTCCTAAAAATATCAAGTCTAATCTGTATGCAATAGATATGCAATGTAAAGAGGAAAAACAAAACGAAAAGATTTTATTATTGAAGCATACCTTCTCAACTGATAAAATGTACTCAACATGCTTTTCAGTCTTGAGCTCTCCCATTCTATCATTAATAGCCCAATATTAGCATTCTCACAATCATTAAAAGGTCAAAATTGTCAAAACAGATAATGCAGATCATCAAACTTCATGTAGAATAGCCATATAAATAAATAAGTTAATATTGGTCAATTCAAACAAAAATTAGCTAATTTTTACTTTTATAAAAGCATAACATGTGTCAATAACATAAACATTAAGTAACCATGACGTCAAAGATCTTTTTCCAATTAAATGCAATAAGACTGACAGTAAAATCTAATGAGTTACAAAACTGTTCATCGTGGAGTAAGTTAGTAACAACTACAAGCTGACATTGTGTTATAGCATTTCTCATTTCATATGGGGAAAAAAACTATGAGCTAACAAAGTTGCAAAAACAGTTTTAACCTTCACAAAACACATTTGTACATTTTGTCAAACATGTTGTGTGCAAAACATTATCACAAATTAAGTTTACATACTTCGCTTCAAACTATTGTTATATTTCAAAATTTTACCCAAAAAATCACTGATGCACAGTACCTCTACTCATTAATTTGGTTTCAAATATATACAACACGATGGTATCAAAAGGTTCAAATCCAGACAAAAAAAATTTTATGCTTCCACAAATTCCATGAAAACTGGCACATAAATTTCATGCTTTTCCTTCTGTCAATCAATTCAAATTTTAAGTTTTCTACCAAAATTTTTTGACCTTTCTACATATTTCAAATCACTACATCAACCCATATCCTCAATTTTCCATTCAATCAAAACACAACATATCCATTCTTTCTTAAAATGCATCTTGATTTTTTTATTATTATTTTTTTTTTATTTTTTTTTTTCAAAAAGGCATTTTTAAAGAAAAAAATATATCCCCACTAATTCTCGTTTGATTAAAACTAATACATGCAAACCACTAAATTCTTCCATACACAAAAATTTACCTATCAGTCAGCAACAACTTGAGTTCAAATTCGATTGCCTATCTCTACTCATTCGCCATCACGATCTTACATTTTGGGCATTGATACTAGGAGACAAGGAGACCAAATTGTAAACAGAGGCCCACGGCCCATGGACCATGTTCCAGGGACCTCATGGCCCACCAACCTCAAGTTTTGAGATGATAAGGGAAAAAAGATTGGTCGCTGAACTTTCATTAAAATCTCATTTTGGTCGTTTAATTTTTATTGGTCACAATCAGATCACTAAAGTTCAATTTAATTTCAATTTTAGTCACTTTGTTAGCCCTTGCTAAAACTGAATGTCTCAACTCTCAATCCTATGTTAGCCCTTGTTTTAGATAAATATGTCATATAATCATGTCGTGACTGCAAAATCTTGAAATTAGGGATAAACAGAGCTTTGAGTTCACTAGATGAATAATTGTCGTATTTAAAACAATTTATTTCCAAATTTTACATAAACGACATGATCAGGTGGTATATTTAACTTAAAATGTAAGACACGTCAGAGTGCTATCATTTTTTAACGGTCATGTTTTAATATGAAGTTTAGTAACACTTTAATCGAATGACTCAAATTGAAAGTAAAAAATGAAAATTGAATGATCTAATTATGATTTTAAAGTATATAACATAATTAAGAATTAACTGAATAAAAAAGTGAATTAACCCTAAATAGAAACAATCATTCTAATTTCGACTAACTAAATGAAAAGATGAATCAACCATCCAAATCAACTCCTAAAATTGAAATGTGATCCTCCACAATTGAGATGTAATGTTCCCCGGCCGTAGAGTACCATTGAGGCAATTACAAGAGACGTGCAATGTGTAACTTCACTGGTAATTATATATCTCCAATTGTAATTCGCAAAGCACAGAGGCATAATTATGATGCTGAAGCCGATTCATTTCCTACTTAATTTTCTTAATAGAAAATTTGAGTCCCATATTGATAGAAACTAATATGTATGCTTCCTTTGATTTCTTGTTTTCACTTTCAATCAGAACATAAAAAACTATGAAACAGAAACAGTATAGATATTAAGAAACTGTTCGGTGGGTCGAAGTCTAGAGAAGAATCAATTAACCGAAGAAGTAAATGGATTATTGTACCAGATGAATTGTTGAATAAGTACCCTGGTTTGATTATCCTGGGTTTTGTTTTGCTCTGCTAATTTTGAAGAGTTTCGCAATCATAATATGATGGGTTGTGTTTTCATCAAAAGCCTAACACTTGAAACTTACATGGATTTCAGCATGACCTGAACTCGTTACCTTTGTTCTGATGTCACATATAAACACATTGTTTCAGACTCCAACTTTCTCCTGCTTTGATGTCATGTTTAAGCATTTTATCTAAAAACTTAAACACAGGGACGGGTCAAGGAATGTAGGGGCTGAAAATTAAGAAAGTCAATAACTAAACGCTGGCAGTTTCTAGTACTAATCTCCGTCAATTCAACTTCAATTCCAAAAATAACTGAACCATATCCCAGCCTATCTATTTTCCTTGATATTCCATCTGGACTTCCCAATTACACCCTACCGTTGTTATAGACCTTACGTCCATGTCTCAACTTTCCATCAACGCCATCATCTTCGTCCTTTGACTCCGACACCCTAAGAGCAGCCTGGAATAATGAATTCCATACCCCAATCAGGGACATTGTGCAACAGAGACCATATAGGAGAATCTTATAATTCTCAACCTCACATCAATAGTAATGTCCAAACTTCTCCAGAAGTACAGAGTATGGATGTGACAGATAAAATAGCTGCTGCAACTAAGGCAATTTCCCATGATCCAACTTTTCAATCAGCATAAGCAGCAGCCGTTGCATCTTTCGTTGGAAACTCAGTCAGTAATGTTTAAGAAAAATCATGGCTCAGGAGGGAATTGGACGTAATTTTAATCTATATTTTCCTCAACAGTCCAAGAAGGATGGAATTGGGTGTGCAACAAACTGCCTCAAGCATAGATTTTCTGACAAATATATTGATATCATTTTCTCCATTAACATTTCGATATCTAAATCCACGCTCCAAACTGAATCCATTATAAATTTTCACTCCTTTTTCATTTAACACTCATTTTAGAGGCAAAAATTCTTAAATTTTATAAGAAAATAGCAACAACCTACAGTATAACTAAATCAATAGGTTCAATGCTCAATATCTAATTTATTCAAGGAAATCCTCATCTGACAAATATATTGATATCATTTTCTCCATTAACATTTCGATATCTAAATCCACGCTCCAAACTGAATCCATTATAAATTTTCACTCCTTTTTCATTTAACACTCATTTTAGAGGCAAAAATTCTTAAATTTTATAAGAAAATAGCAACAACCTACAGTATAACTAAATCAATAGGTTCAATGCTCAATATCTAATTTATTCAAGGAAATCCTCGTGTAACATACAAACAGATTTTTAGTCAATTTATACAAATTTTAACTTAACGATTAAAATTGAATCGAAAGGATGTACAGATCAAATTTACATACATTGTTACGCCTATGAATTATCACTCCATATTGGGCCACCTTATTGGACCCGAGCTAGGGCCATTAGTGTTGTGCGCCTAGCCGAAGTGCCTATCACTTTGCTCACCTCGTACTGGGCTCGAACTTAGGCCCATTAACCCGCCTTAGCCCATTTCACATCATTTCTCTATAATATGAATTCAATTCACAAGTTAAGGTTTCGAGGGGACGAAGCGAGGGTGCCTGTTGGAGCCATTTTTGGAGGTCAACAGATTTCCTTTTTATGAGCCTCGGAACCACTCCGACCCCCCGAAGCCTCTCCGAAGTGATACATCGATTCCTGCCACTGATATTCCGAAGTGTCCCGTCTCCGAGGTCGGGTTCAAGTGGCTTGAACCCCCGTTAGAAGATTCGCTGCCAATTTAAGATTTGCTCTGCATATAAGGTTTAAATTGATGTGACGTCCCCCATAAAGCTATTTGATGTGACTTATCAACTTTATGTCAATTCAACTAGGGGGAAACAAACTGTCCGCCCACTCTACAAGCGCGGCTGATTGACGTCTATGAGCAGACACTTCATACCGTCAGATGTATACACGTGTTCCACATCCCACGGTTCATACCA